TCTTCTGCGATCATTTCGCGAATGTTGCTCCTCTTTTAAGCTTGGAAGCTGTTGTTTCCAGCAGTCCTAGTTCCTTGGTATCCACTATCTGGTCGGCTTCTGCATTCTCTTATCTGATGTCCTGCTTTTCCACACCTCAAGCAGAGTTTCCCATTCATTCTTCTAGCATATTCTTCCTTTAACAGGTTCAGAGCAGGTCCTGCTCTTGATTTGTCCAACTCCATTAGTTCTCCTGGTGGTAATGCTCTGCTTTCATCTCGAGCTGCCTGTAGTTCGAAGATTCCATCTATATTTCTGGACGATTGGGCCATCCTATGTGCTATAGTGTTTTCTGAGTTTTTTCAAACCATGTTTAGTTTGCTTTCCTTATCTATCACCCATCTTGCAAATCATTCTGCTGTTGTGTAGCGTGAGTCGGAGATTCCCCATGCCTCTCATAGTCTCTCACTACAGTTTCTTAGATGGATAATGTAGAGGGTAGCATTATCAAACTCTACCTCACATTCCAATAGTCGGTATTCGTTCCAATATGCTGAAAAGGTCTGTTTTCCTTATTGGAGTTTCTCAAGCTTTCATCTTGCTGTCTCCTTAGCATTGGGATCTCCAAATTGTTCAAAGAGTGTCGCCTTGAATTCCTTATACGTGACCTATTCCCTCTGTTTTCTTCCATCATGGAACGGCATGATCCATTGTCCTGCGAGTCCTCTGAGTAGAGATTGCACATAGGGAATTTTGATCTCATCGTAGTGTTCTCCATATCCCTTGACAGCAAAATACTCTTCGCATTGCGTCAGGAATATTCGTAGCTTATCTTTAGCTCCTTCGTATGTGTCAGGTTCTTTACTTTTGGTCGCTGGATATTTCTTTGTTTCATGTTTCCTGTTGCTGCTAGAAATGCCTGAATCTGATTTTCAGTCATTCCAAGTATGCTAGTGCCTGGTGCTGGAGCAGCCGGGGCTGATGGCACAGGTACTGCTAATTCCGACATTTTCTCAGGTCGTGGGGTTCCTGCTGGAGAGCCATCGACTGGTGATACTTTCTCTGTAGTTACTGGGCTTGCTTCCCTTGAGGGCTCTGCTGATACGTGATCTAGGGCATCGCTAAATCCCCCTAGGTTAAGGTATTGATTATTGATGTCAATATCTCCTTCCCTATCGGGGTTGAAGGATACCATCTTATATCATTTAACGTCGCACTTAGTGACACTTTGTAATATAACGATTCCTCTTCAGATGGTTAGTTCTTGGCAACGGGAAACAATACTTCTCTTCTCTTTCTTCTTCTCTCCTTATCTTACGATAGCACTAGGCCTCTGCCTACGTTACTGATAGTACAAGACCTCTGTCTTCTATTAGAAATGCCTATCATAATCTTTCTCTAACTCTTCTCTATGAAGAGCTTTCCTCTGCGTAACAATAAATATTGCAATAGGGATAAATATCGTAAAGGTGTTTTATATTCGTTAGAGTAATAAGTAGGAAAAGTACTTAGAACAAAGCATGAAGAACCTATCCTCCTCGGCCGCATTGGCCTTCTTATATAGTATTCTTCCTGCCCATAGTCATTTGACCCAAAGTGGTCACATGTGCAAAACCAAATCATGACAAACTAGTCATGTGACCAAAGTGGTCACATGCTCAAAACCCATGACCTCATAGCAAGGTCATGTGCGAAAACTCATAAACCAATCATAATATAATAAATAAATCATATGACTTGACTGAGTCATATATGTAAAACCCATGACCTCATAATGAGGTCATGTGCGAAATATAAATCATATGCACAAGTCATACCCGCAAGGCCCACTCACAAGGCATACTCGCCAGGCGTACGTCTCATGACTCATAATCAAGTCATGTGTGAAACGTAACATAATAAATCATATAACCCAAATGAGTCATATGCATGAAACAATACCATACCTATGACTCATGATCATGAGTCATGTGAAAACCTTTTCCGTGCCAAGCCATGTTCATGACACCATTCTTCTGACTCCTGCTACTTCCTATTCTTGCCTCCTCATTAGTGGCATTTTTATTTAGTAGGGCAATTTGCTATCTCGCTTCGCTTCGATCCTTTTCTGTTTCTGTTTCCTAAATATATAATAGTTCCTTGATGTTAAGAATACTAGGATCCAATACCTAGGAACCACCCTAAGTAGAGTAACCCCACTCGGACTCAGAATCTCAGGTTTCTAACACCCCTCTCCGGCCTGCTTAGGGGGCCCGCACTTCATCATAAATATCGATTTCAGTTGTGTCCCGTGACTATAATACCACAGAATTGAAGGTGTATGAATAATACTATATTTATCACCGCCATCTATCCGACCAGATCATGTTCGCTGTATAAATGAGAAGAGACCTTCAACTAGGTCTGAGAAGTGAAAACGAGTAAATCTGTCAACTATCTAGAGAGTCACTAGGCTTTAAGGTCATGATGTCATTGGCATGGACCATAGGTAACAGGACATTTTCACAGTAAAACATGGTATTGAATAGTAAATGATCTCAATAAGAAACCAATTCATTCGCACCTACACTACGATAACCAGAAGAGTTTAGAGCTCCAAACAGTACTGCCTCTGAAGCCAATGGACTTTACAGAGTATTACAACTGGGTAGGAATGTGCTGAGGTTGCTGGAATAATTCCAAATACTAGAACTGTAATTGAAACCCTGTCACCTAGAGCAACCAAGGGTTGCTGACCAAGGAATTATATGTCAACCTGGCAGAATAGCCTCCTGTGAATTAGTAGAAAGTCCTCCAAAAAATATCTGTTAGTTAGATATGGAGTTATAGAGGTTTGAAGTCACACATCCCGGAAGATTGCAATTATGACTACCCCTACAAATACAACCCGCAGATGAAACTGATCATTTCATCAATACCAGAGACAATTAGGGCCAACCAAGTTCAACTTGAGAACTAGGCCATAAGTCTAAAAACTCTAATAATTAAATAATTACTATTGGAAATAGCATGATTCTCAGTTAGCAATATCGTAATTACTGACAAGGATGTAGTGATTTTTATAGTTTCCAGGTATTCGCACCTTTGAATAATACCCGATATTGCAAGTTATAATCAGAGAAGTATATAGTTGTATAATAGATAGATGTAGTCCGCGAATACTCAGATGCGGAATATAAATATTGAAGTACCTCTCAAGCTTTTAGATATCATCAAGCAACAGAGAAGAGACATTAACAATCTAGTATTATTCTTACAGTTCTATTCTACTTTACCTACTTCACTTCACTCTTAATAGTCATAAATGAAAAGAGTGTATATCAAGCCTTCCTAGATAACCTCCATCTACAGAAACAAATCTTAGTTGGCCTACACATCTCTGAGTCAATACAGGTTGTCTCCGCCTAACAGTTCTGGCTATTTTTGAAATTTGATTGTCTTGTCCCACTTCTTTGTGATGTCCTGCTTCCCAGTTCTTTTCATTATCTATTAACTATGATTTCTCATTCTACTGATGTACAGCCAGTAAAAGTTAATTTAGATGGTAAATAGTGTATTTGTGAAATCTTTTGTTTTTTGGACATAAAACATGCTACAGAGGTCATCTAGAGTTCTAAATTATTTTCTGAGCTACTGTACACCTACTTTACATAGCTAGCTACATGGTTAAGCAAAAAAAAAAAATGTTTTGTGGTTGAGGTCCAATAGTCAGATTTTAACTTATACGGATTCATATTATTTATTTCTTCCCTTCCCTGTATTCACTGGTAGTCTATCTAGTAAAAAATGTAGCTAATTTTCTTTCACAGGTGTGTAGAAGTTTGAGGCTTTGTTAAACGTAGAATGAAGAATGGTCATTTTGAGCTTTGGTCAGTAAATACCAAACATTAGCCTAGCTCGAAGTTTACTCCGGAATATTACAAGCGCCCTGATTAAACTCCAGTGACTGCGCCTCAAATATACTAATTGTCCTGTAATGTTGATGGGAAATCTCGGGGGGGGGGTCGTGCAGAAAGGAACATACTATCTGGACGGAAATGCAGAACTAATTCCCAGCATCCAGTATCCGATAGAGTAGCCTCTAGGCTTCTTGAAAATTAATACACTTAAATCTAAAATTGTCGGTGGAGCAATATTTTGACCTTCAATGATCAATCTAAAAAATTTGGTAAAAACACGCCCCAGCATAGGAGGATGGCCTAACTTGAGATGAACCAGTAAGCAATTTTTCAGGTATCCCTAGACAATGAATAAATGGCCAATGATCGCTTCACTTTTTCTCCCTTCATGAGTCCCGGCCATGCTGTCTGTACTCGTGCGGTAGCCACATTAGCCACCGAGAAGCCCATCAGGCAGCAAATATATCGAGTATCCTTTTTTTTGTGATTGGCCTTCTGATCAGTTCCCGTGAGTTCCAAACTTCAGCTCGGCAGCTCGAGCACTGGAAAATTCCATGCTACTATAATAATGGTATTATCATTATGATATCATACTAGAATATGCTCGAGTGTACTTGTGGGGTTCCAGCCCTCCACGACCCCTAAGCAATACATAATGTGGTTCATCAGGTGTCTTATTGCAGGGCTACTCCACCTAGCTAGAGAATTGAACTCGTATCGTAGCAGTTCTCTTAAGGATTACTCGTCGGAACCTACCTTGGTGTATTCCGTGTCCCCAAGGTTTGACGGAAAGATTGCAGTGGTGGGCCCAAGAGAATAGAATATCCAGCGAGTAATTTTAATATGTTCTCCTAATATGCGCCTACGGAGTATATCCTGTATTTCATTCCTTTCTTGTGCATGCTCAAATCTCGAAAATCGGGAAACTCAGCCGGCGCTTGCAACCGCCACCACAACCGCCGAGGCGGAAGGGGTAACTCGACTGCATAATACTGGTACCGACCGTAGCTAGAACCTTATCGGATGTGTCACAGATGTAACAACAACAGCTTGGCAGGTGTTAGCTAAATTTACCCTTAGACCTCTACCGATATTCTGACCATAACCACAACTCCTCCTTCTCTCACTCCCTCCCCTCGCTACACCCGAAAACTAACGAAACAGCAAAAATACCAAGATGTCAGAGCTCCTCAGCTTTACCCTCGCCCACGAGCAATTTCGGAGGTATTCCCTTCCCACCTAACCACCACTATGAAGGCTAGCCAGAGTGCAAACTAACTAACCTTAACAGAGCCCGCCTACCATCCCTATACTCCGACTTCTGCCCCCTCCGAGCAAACAACCCCTCCGGCTTTCTCGCGAACGTCACAGCATGGAAGTCCGTTCTCAGCCAGGCCGCTGCGAATGGAATCCTAGGTGGCGACACGTTAGTTCTCGAGATCGGGGAGGGGCTAGTTGGTTCCTTAGCGACGAGGGAGTGGGGGAGGCCGTTGGCGTTGGGGACCGTTGTTGTATGTTTTTACCTTATTCACAGAGTAGCGTGATGGGTTAATGAAAGTTTAGAATGAAGCAGTGTCTACGCGGGAGTTTATCTCGCTGGAGACGTTTTTGGGTATGCGAGAGAGTGTGTATTATCGTCCTTGGGTGGATCCTTGGAAGGTGCTTGTGTGGGGACTGGAAGTTGTGGGACTGAAAAGTCGGGCGGTGGAGGATGGGAAGATTCGAGAGGGGAAGGTGGTGGTGCTTAAGAATATTGAGGTATGGATTCTCCCCTTCTACCCACTGGCAGGGAGGTCACGATTCTAATACTGGTTTCACATAGGAGACGGCAAAAACAATCCTCAAAGAAATCTCCAAGAGACCAATCATTGTCGATCGAATATTCTCCACAGAAATGTTCCTGCAAGAGTTCCCTATTCACGGGAAACCGCTCTCAGAGGCAGACCTCCGAGTGTTACTAGTCTTCCTGTCCCGTGACCTCCGAGAAGCTTCCGTAGCCAACAACGTAACCCCCCTTTCACCCCCCCCCCTCCACAAACAAAAACTAACTACCCTTCCACCTCAAACAATAAAATTCAAACCCCCCACGGGAGAACTAACCCCCGTATCCCCACATGATACCACGATCGCCAACCTAAAAACACTAATCACCTCCCTGCACACCACCATTTCCACGATCTCCACGAAGATCTCAACCTCCGACGCCAAAGCCCGCACCGCCATACAATCCTCTAACAAGCACGCTGCCCTCTCTGCCCTCAAATCCAAGAAAATCGCCGAAACCTCGCTCGAATCACGCGCGAAATCACTCGCACAGCTGGAGAAAGTCCTCGTGAAGATTGAGCAAGCGGCGGACAACATCGAGCTTGTACGCACACTGGAAGACAGCAGCAAGGTTCTCGCAGGGCTTAACAAGCGAGTCGGAGGAGTTGAGGGTGTGGATAAGGTTACTGATGAGCTTCGGGAGCAAATGAACGAGACTGGCGAGATCACTAGGATCTTGGGCGAGGAGACAAGCGCCATGGCCCAGGTTGACGATGGGGAGGTGGAGGGGGAGTTTGAAGCTTTGCTGCAGGAGGAAGAGAGGAAGGTTAGGATGAAAGAGGATGAAGAAGCGTTGAAGAGGAAGTTGCCGAAGAGCAAGGAAGAGGTTAATGGTGAGCTAAAGGCCGTGACCGGGCCTATGGAGGAGCTGAAGTTGAAGGAGGATATACTCGTGCCCACACTCGTGCTCGCGCCGGCGCCTGCGCAGAAGGAGCAAAGCCCGGAGCAAGTGCCGGCCTCGTAGTTATCATTCCTAGTGGATTGGAGTTTTGACACGAAAAGAGAGAATAGATAGCACCTCACAGCTTTACGTACTGTACTGTACTGTATAATCTCACCGAATCACACCCTTTATCTTTGAACCGCAATCATGTAATCTATGGTACATCCCCCAAAATCTTGATTAATCTTACCCCTCACAACCTCGTAGTAGCTACAAGTAAACCAAGCCCAAATAAAGCAAACATAAAAGTAAGCAAACCCCGAAAACTCCAACCCCCTAGATATAATATGCATACTACCCATCTAGCAAGCGCTAAAGAAAACTAAAGCTTGTTTTTAAAAGGGGAAGAAAAATAAATGCAAATCCATCAAAGCCCACCACTGGTACTGCCCTCCCCCCTCTTACACGAAACTTCCATTTCGTGGTACCTTCGTTTACCATATAGACCAATTAGTGATGTATCCTCTTCCACCATGGCTATAGGCTCATTCGCATCGCCATCTGCCCCTGGCATTGCTGGAGCTGGTGGTGGGGGGGGGGTTCACGGCGAACATGCCATTCACGTTTACATGTGAGTACAGGGGGTATGTGTGGGTGTTTGGGGTAGTGGCGGTGGGCACGCTTGTCGCAGGGTGGAGTGTAACGTGGCGGCGAAGGCCTGATCAGAGTAGGGTTGGTGGGGGTCTGGTTGAAATGATTGTGCGGCACTATTTGGTGGAGCCAGGCCATCAAGGATGGTAACCGGGGTGGCGGTGTTTGACAAAGTGGTTGGCGCAGAGGGAGCACCGTCTATTTGTGCGCTTGATATCGAAGTATGTTCCATTTCTTCTTCTGCCTTCCCCCCCTCATCCTTCTCCTTCCCTTCCTTTACGGGCTCGGGTCTCCCTCTCTGCGCCCTTGCCTTCGCGATTAGCTCACTGAAATGTGACTTATTGGACTCCGACCATCCCTCATCCGTCCAGCCTGCTGCCTTCGTCTTCTCCACGACCGGGATCCGGTAGATTTCATCCCACGCCGACAACTCCTTCAGTAACTCCCTCTTGCTCTTCGGCGTCGCGGAGTCCACATTCGCGTTCCAGAGCGTCAGCCACTCGTTATAGCGGTCTTGAAGAGTCCTCTTGTTCCCATGGGATGGGATCCCGAGTCCTTGGAGTTTATTGCGGAGGGCGGATTCTTTGATCATGTCGAAGGCTATCTTTGGCAGTGGGCGGAGATCTGGAGGGTTGGTGGGAGTTGGGTATGGGGTGCTGGGTTTCGTGTCAGCTTTTTGGGGTGCGAGAGGGAAGGTAGCGGTGGGAAAGGTTGGAGTGTACCTTGATTGGGATTTGGAGGAGCCGAAGAATGAGCTTTCGCTACCACGGAGGCGTTTGCGTGGCGATGCTGGGGATTCCTTTGGACAGCCGCTCTCGATATGAGAATCGACTCTTATCTCTCTCATGTACTCGCCACAGATGGGACACGCAACCATTCCGGATGCTGCGAGTAAAGTGAATGGTTAGTCCTATGAATATTCGAGAATTGGGAAGGAGGGGGGGAGGAGCAAATCTCACAGGACGGTGGCTTATAATCTCCATCGCTATCATCATCTAGACATATAACTTGATTTTGTGATGAGGGTTGAGAGGAAGACTGAGATCCAACTCTACTGCCTGAACCCCTAGTAATCCTCCTGTTACCGCCAGCGCTCTTTGTGGACCTATCCGGAGCACCCCCACCATCCATCCTTCTTCTCTTCTTCCACCTCTTAGGCCCGCCTCCCTCCTCAAAATCCGTATAACCACCATCGTCCTCATCGCCATCCCCCGTACCATCATCCACCCCACCGGCAGAAGCCCCCCCCTTCTCAGCACTCTCCTTCGCCACCTCCATCAACAGCGGCCTTGCCACCCCGAAAGCATCAACCAATTCCTGCGCGGTTCCATTCTTCCTAAGCTGGCTCTCCTGAGCTGCAGCCCTGCACATAGGACACTTCTGCTCCCGCACCAACGACCGTCGGATGCACTCGGAGCAAAATGTGTGACAACAACCCGTCATGACGGGGGTGTGGTAGTAGTCTTTACAGATCTGGCATCGCAGCGCGGAGTCCAAGGATTTGAGAACTGGGAGCCGGGTGGTGGTCCAATCGCTCGGGTCAGTTACGTCGATTATCTTTTGGTTGCGTAGGGAGAGGTGAGGTTGGCTCATTTTTGCCGCCGTTGTTGTTGTTGTTGCCAACCTTTGAAGAGGAAGCGGAGGGGGGAGAATCAGTTTAGCGAGTGAGTTGTAAAGTGAGTTCGACGCGACTTTTGGCGGCTTGAACGCGTCGGTTGAGTAGTGGACCCTTGAGCCAGGCTGCCAAGGCCCCGGCTGTTCGCGATTGGATGAAAGGGAGACTTGCCCTTTCATTACAAGTACCCGTAGGGATACCGGTAGTATTGGCTTGCTGCTGGGATGTATCATAGCTTACCGGTAGTGCTGTGGGGGGACTTATGCCGGTTTGGCGGTCCTGCATCTAGAATAGTTACGAACATAAATTGAATTCATCACAAAAAATCATTACCGATAGCGGTATTCAATGCATCAGGAAAAGAGTGATAATTCAGGAGCTATGCCTTAACCTATAACACGTTGGATAAACCACATACTGCATTTCAATCCTCATGATTATTATCATAGATACTCGGGTAACCGGTAGTCTCTGGTACGGTAATACGGTAGGAAAGGACCCTCCTCTACTATGCCCCACCTACTCGACTACCACTATCGGTATACCAACTTATACCCCCCGGGCCACCACTCCTTTCCCCAGCCCAAGGTTCAAATCCAAGCTCAACTCTGATATGATACAAGTAGCTCCTAGTCCACGGTACTGTGCTATACAGTACCCCGAGAGATCCGGATAGTCTACATCGAAGCCATATACGGAAATTCATCCAGACAAGACGCAAGAAAGATCACTAGTGCTACGCCACAGAAGACCTCCAACGCACAACGTAGGGTCCTTTTTTAGAAATACTGTAGGGGACAAATTCCTAGCTTAGAGGGGGTCAGGAATCTCTGTTCCTTACTTTGTCAGGTATACATAAATTTAGATAGTCGGCCATTAGGGTTATCTATCATACTACGAGTGCGTGTTTATATCTATGATATTAAATTCTCATAATGCGACACAACCCTTCTCGCGCGTGGGCCACCGCCGCGCTTCTGTAGTTGTCACTCGCTTAGGTGCCGGTATGATAATTTACAAGTATGATAGTATGCCCACGGTTCCCGGCTTTGATCATTGGTTGTTGGGTTGGTTGTTCTCTTGGACTAACTTACTCGGGTATGCCGGTGGGGAAGACTCACTAGTCTGCTCGTACTTTCTCTCGTACCAAGCTCTGACCGCCCTATGTCTGGTCAGGCATTCGGTGATAATTAGTGAGGGCGTATTTGCTCCCACTATTGAGCCAGGTGATATCCTGATTGTTTCCCCATGCTTTGCTTAGTGCGCTGGGGTCTGGATCGGGGGAGTTGCCAGTGTTCTGATACCGGTATGGTGGCTCGCTGCCTGTTACAACCACAAGAGCAAGTGATGGGCACAAATACGGTACAAGTACTGTACCAGCACAGCAGGACAGCTCCTCAAGCCATGTTGACCAAGCAAACGGCCACTCCCAGGCAGGGAATAAAGAGGGAGAAGAAATAGAACACTCAACCGACCATCCCCAAGACGCAGGGTTTCATCTTGCATTCAATTCAGCATTTCACATGCTCTCTCTTCTCCCCAATTAGCTCGCCTGAGTACCTCACTAATGATACACTTTGAATCGAAACCTTCCCACTTTTAGTACATCCCAAACAAAAGAAATGAGATATCTCGCAAGCTAAATATGGCAATGGAAAACGAAAAACATTTTACAGACTCTCCAACTCTTCTTTTCTAGTTCTATAGACTTCTTGGGCTTCCCTTTCCCTCTTGTCCAAGAAGGCAACTTCCTTCCTAAGCCCTTCAAGCCTTTTCGGGAGGGCGGCTGCTTCGCTAATTTTCAGGGTTCTGAAGCCCTCCAGGTCCCTTCTTGTTTCCGCGATTGCTTCAGATGCTTCGATTAACTTTTGGCACAACATTTTGGAACGGGCTTGGTAGCCGCCGAGGTGGAGGCTGAGTTTCTTCTCTAGTTTGTTGCCCTGAGTGGCATCTTTGGTGAGCTTTTCTTGGATGAACTAAGTTAATATAGATATGGGTTAGTGCTGTGTTATTTCAATAGGCTGGGCTTAATGCAACATACGTCATAGGTTTTAATCTGGTTGTCTTCGTCACCTGCTCGGTAATCTTCGAGTCCTGGAAGATTAGGAGATGAATGAATCCTCAGCCAAGCACCCTCAACCCCCGGTTTAGCCCGCTCGACAATTTCCGGCGACAACTCCAAAACAATCTCCATTCTCGCCTTCTCGAGGAGATCATCATCCAATTTCTCGAGGGGTTTTGGAGCGCCTGTGACCTTTCCGCCCTTAACTGGGTATCGTAGGGCATCTGTCCCAATCAGGGTGGCCATTTCTTGGGAAATCATTTTTTGTATAGAATTCCGTTCGTTTGACATCCCGGCCTCTAGAAGTGCTCCGATGTCAACAATCCTTGGGCGCGGGAGTGACTTCTGTATGACCTGTGTTCTGCGTTTCAGTTCTGCCGTAGCCTCAGCCTCAGCGCGTTCACGGTTCCGGCGGTCTATTTCTTCTCTGTCCTCTACGGGTTGTGACCCCGCCGGGGTGTCCGTATCTTCTTCTGGCTCCTCTGGTTCTTCTAATTCTATCTCCTTAGGCTTAGGGAGCGACGCAAAACTGGGTGATGGTTAGCAAATGTTATGTAAATCCTAGGTTAACATAGTACCCACCCAGATCTCAACTGCTGCTTGATCGAGTTCTGTTGCAGCTTTTGGTCCCTAGGAGTCATGGAAACAAGAGAACCGGCATATGCCCCATTCTGATTGATTGCTAAAGAATCTCTTGGAGTCCTTAAAGGTGTTTGTCCAGGTCTACCTGGGGTAGCACCAGGTGTAGCGTCTACGACCCCACCAGCACGGAATGGTGTCGCTAAAGGATTCGGTGTTGACACGGTCATCTTCCGGGGGGCAATGCCGTCAAAACCAGTGGTACCCGATTCATGCAATGGGGTATTCTCCCCTCCAAGAAGTGAAGACTGGGTTTCAGTAAGCGCACGGATATTTTTGATTTCGTTCGCTACACGGTCTTCGGTCGGGGGAGCCCTCGGAGTGCGAATAGGTGCGCCAGTATTAATATTAGTATAGCTGCCAACCAGCCCTTTAGTCGACTCGTTATCGCTGGCTCCAGCAATTTTATTCGCATCTTCACCCATCAAACCCATTTTAACAATTTCCTCCAATTCTGTCTCCCCAACTTGTGGCGAAGGAAGGACAAGTTGCCTTCTCTTACTCAATTGCTCGGCTTGTCGAATCTTTTGTAATTGTCCAGCCTTTGCTGCGGATGCGAAAGCAGCAGCAGCACCGTTCTTGTCTTTATCCCCACCTTTTCTCCTCTTTCTATCTAGATCCTCGTCTTGATCTCCTTTCCGCTTGGTATGGGACAAAGCCTTCCGGGGATCGATGTTGGCACGCTGCCTCTCATTCCGAGCCTCTTCCTCACTAATATCGTAAAATCCCAATGCTGGTTTCTTCTCAAATGGAATATCCGCGTTATAATCCATTTCGCCTCTGCGCCGGTTGGTTAATTTAATATTGATACCCGCATGTTTGAGTTCCCGGCGTTTCTGAAGTACGGCTAATCGCCTAGAGTCTTCGAGTTGCCGTTCACGAGCCTTGCGCTTAGCCTTCTTTCCTTGAGTATTCGCGAGACGGGCACGAGCTTCGCTTAGCATCTCCTTTTCATCCTCATCCATGTCAACCGCATCTGAAAAATAGCAGTCAGTAAGAAAGTGAATCTCATATGTAGCGACCAAGATAAACGTACCAGGCCTAGCGGCTTTTGTTTCCGGGTCAGGATCAGTTTCCCCCGGCCTAAACCTCCTAATATCATCCGCACTCGGTGCACTTGCCTCGGCCCCATCTGGTCCAGCAAGACCCAACTCCGAACTCTCTCGAGCTTCGGCCTCATCGAGGAGCTTCTGGTATCGATCTAGGCACTGCGTGGCGGTTCTTCCAACAATGGGCGCAATTGTCCTCCACTGTGTGGGCATTAACTTGGCCAAATGAAGGAGTTTTTCATCTTCATCGCGAGACCATTCAACTTTTCTAATACTGGGGTCCAGCCATTCCGCCCAACGAGCTTTGCATTGTTTCGCCGATTTTCGGGCAAGGAGCGAAGAGACGCGTTGCCACTGGTTGAGTCCGTACTTAGAAACCGAAGCTTTAAGAATTTCGTCCTCGACGTTGGTCCAGACACCGCCCTTTACGACCGGCATGGTGGAAAGGGTGGACGAGCTTTAGAACTTGCTAGGGTACTGTGTCTGGTGGTTTGGCGGTTACGCTGAGGCAGGTGGAAAGCTGGGGAGACTCGGAAGAGCAAGACCTGGAATTCTATGATGAGACAGGGAAGCTAAAGGTTACCCTGCTTGCTGATGCAGTGAAATCTTGGCAAGACACGTGCCAAGACTTTCCTAAATTTTTGAGGATTTACAGATGAAAGTCTGTCCCTCCCAGTGGTAGTACTGGTGTTCTATCCTCCCTTAAATCCCCCACCTTCCTCGCCCCACTCTACCACAGGAATCATGGTTAAGAAGGCAATGTGTGTCACTCTATTCTCTTACAGTTCTATTTTAACATGTTCTGACTGCGAACTGATAGTGACAAGCGCATTCCTGATCTTATCCGAAATGGTGTTCAGGTACAAATTCTTCTCCAAGTCCACTTCAGTGCTTAAGGTACTCACAGTCGTAAAGGAAAAGAAACGCAGCTTCTTCGTTGTTGTCGGCGACCGAGGGAAGGATGTCATCTTGAACTTGCACTATATTCTCGGGAGTGCCGACCCCAAGCAGAACAAGTCCGTCCTGTGGACTTACAAAAAAGACCTTCTCGGATTCTCGAGGTAGAAACCTGTTTTTGATGGCGGAGCAATTGTTTCTTTGTTTTTTATGCTGATAATTAATTCCGCAGTCATCGGAAGAAGCGAGAGGCTAAAATCAAGAAGGAGGTCAAGCGAGGGATTCGGGAGGCTAATGCTGAGGATCCGTTCGAGCTTTTTATCAGTCTCACCAACATCCGGTACTGTTACTACAAGGAGACTGAGAAGATTTTGGGTAACACATATGGAATGTGTATCATACAAGACTTCGAGGCTCTGACTCCGAATTTGCTGGCGAGGACGATTGAGACGGTTGAGGGAGGTGGGCTGGTCATCCTACTATTAAAGACTATGACCAGTTTGAAGCAGCTTTATACGATGACTATGGTAGGTGTAGGCAATACAATAATTTCAAGGAATTTGCTAAATTTATTCCCCTAGGATATACACTCAAGGTACCGAACAGAAGCCCACGGAGATGTGGTTGCTAGGTTCAACGAGAGATTTATTCTCTCCCTTGCCGATTGCGCCAGCTGTTTAGTAGTAGATGATGAACTCAATGTTCTTCCAATCTCGGGTGCAAGAGGCGTTACTGCTCTGCCGCCTGTATCTTCAGAAGAAGGAATGACAGAGCAGAAACGAGAGCTGCTGGAACTGAAAGAGAGCCTTTCCGAGGTTCAGCCTGTCGGTTCCCTAGTGGACATTTCAAAAACAGTAGATCAAGCCAAGGCGATCATGACTTTCGTAGATGCAATCACCGAGAAAACCCTTAGAAGCACAGTTACACTTACAGCCGGACGAGGAAGAGGAAAGTCCGCAGCATTAGGCGTAGCCATTGCCGCGGCCGTTGCACACGGGTACTCTAATATTTTCATCACTTCACCGAGTCCTGAGAACTTGAAAACCTTGTTTGAGTTCATCTTTAAAGGCTTTGACGCTCTAAACTACAGCGACCATCTCGATTACGATATTATTCAGTCGACAAACCCAGCTTTCAACAAAGCAATTGTCAGGGTTAATATCCACCGCCAACACAGGCAAACTATTCAATATATCCAACCCCAAGATGCTCACGTTCTCGGGCAGGCAGAGTTGGTAGTTGTTGATGAAGCAGCCGCAATTCCCCTTCCACTTGTTAAGAAGTTGATGGGGCCCTACCTTGTATTCATGGCATCAACGATCAATGGGTACGAGGGAACCGGTCGCTCACTCTCCCTAAAGTTGATCCAGCAATTGCGAGACCAGTCCTCCGGGCTCATCAGATCAACTCAAGACGGCGAGACAGCTGACCGCTCCGGAAAGACGGGCAAAAAGCCAGATACTGTCGGATGTGGAGGAAGAAGCCTGCGCGAAGCTACGCTTTCTGAACCGATCCGGTACGCGCCGAATGATCCCGTCGAGAAATGGTTAAACAATCTCCTCTGCCTCGACGCTACCCTCCCCAGCAATCGCAGCACTGTACACGGAACCCCAGACACTGCGAAATGTGAGCTTTTTTACGTTAATCGAGATACCTTATTTTCCTATCACCCGGTTTCGGAGCGATTTTTGCAACGCATGATGGGACTTTATGTCGCTAGTCATTACAAGAACTCCCCGAACGATCTACAGCTTCTGAGTGATGCACCTTCTCACCAACTCTTTGTTTTGCTACCTCCTGTACAGGAGGGTAGTAAGAATATCCCAGACCCTCTGTGCGTGATTCAAGTGTCATTGGAAGGCCAGATCTCTCGAGAGTCTGTGCAGCAGAGTTTGGCTCGAGGGAGGAGGGAAGGTGGAGACATGATCCCTTGGCTTGTTTCTCAACAGGTAAAGCACATTTTTACCTTATGAAACGTCGGACTAAGCTAACTATTCCAAAGTTTCAAGACGAGGGCTTTGCAAGCCTTTCTGGTGCGCGAGTCGTTCGGATTGCGACCAACCCTGATTATACCGGAGTAAGAAATCCTGTCCCATGACCTCCCAAAGGTTGCAGTGACTAATACATCAATAGATGGGCTATGGATCTCGAGCTCTCCAACTCCTCACTGACTTTTACGAAGGGAAGTTCCAATCACTTGACGAAGGAGCTACCTATGTCGATGAAGGGATGGTTCGTGTGACTGATGAAGAAATCGAGAATTCGACCCTTCAAACCGATAATATCAAAATCCGCGATAGGGAATCCTTACCCCCACTGCTTCTGAGAATGTCGGAAAGAAGGCCCGATACTCTAGATTACATTGGCGTGTCATACGGTTTAACAGATAAACTTCACAAGTTTTGGAAAAAACAAAAATTCGCTCCGGTATACCTCAGGCAGACGGCTACTGAGTTAACTGGAGAGCATTCTTGCGTAATGATAAAGACTTTGGCTAGCAAAGATAACGATTGGTTGGGGGCGTTCGCTAGAGGTTTGTACTGACCGACATGTCGACCCGAGTGCAACATATTGGGGCTAATATCCGAAAACAATAGACTTCCACAAACGCTTTCTCACCTTACTCTCTTACGAGTTCAGAAAATTCCCGGCTGTATTAGCCTTAACTATTTTCGAATCCGCAAATGCCGGGGCAAGGCTTTCGGGACAGGAAGATCTTCGTGAGTGCTTCCCAGCTATCTGAACCTGCCAGCCATACACTAACTCGATCGCAGCTCTAACAAAGGCCCAGCTGGACGAATACCTCTCACCCTTCGATTTAAAACGTCTGGAATCCTACGCAGACAATATGCTCGACTACCATGTAATCGTAGACATGATCCCCCTCATCGCTCAACTATACTTCACCGGCCGCCTACGAGGATCCGTTAAGTTAGCTGGCGTTCAGCAAGCTGTCTTGATGGCCATCGGACTGCAAAGGAAGACACTGGAAGACATCGAAAAAGAGCTGAACCTTCCACCCGCACAGGTCCTCTCCATGTTCCAGAAGACCATCCGAAAGGTTGCTACATGTTTCCGACATCTCCTCTCCCAAGCAATCTCCGAGACACTCCCGCAAGAGGCCGGAAAACCAAAACAGAAAAAGATCAACGGCGGCGACAACAATAACGAAATAGAAACAGATGAATTCTACCCTGTCGAGCAATCCCTCGCAGACGACCTCCAAGAAGGCGGAGAGGAAGTCATTGCGAGCATGAAGTTGAAGGAGAAGCAGAGGGAGTTGATTAATTCTTTGGATCTTTCAAAGTAATCCTTTCCTTTCCCCAATGTCCGTGTAAATTTCAATAAAGCCTGCGCTCTCTGCATCCTTGTCCGTGCGCCCACACGTAAAGTTTCAATGTGTTGACTTTGTTGGGTCAATCATTAGGTACGAAATCCCCTCAACCGAATCCGCGGACTGGGAGAGCGCCGAGAAGCAGATCAAGTCTGCTACAAGTAAAAACAGCAGCGGCAAGAGCACCGTTGTCAGCGTCAAGACCAAGAGCCATAATAAGCGGAAGGCGGGCGAGACGGTGACGGAGATTTACGAACAGGAAATGAGGAAGGTGCACAAAAAGGGGAAGAAGAGTAAGAGTAAGAAATGAAGCCTACAGCACTATAGGGAGAAGCAAAGGGATGGTGTGATGATATCTGATCGGAATGAGCTGTTTGTACTAGAGCTAAAAGTTTTTTTTCTACTTACACGGGATGGAGCTTGTACGATATCTGAAAATATATGTAGTAGACTTTGGAATTTCGCACAAGAACTTGTACTCTGTTTAAATGTCACCTAAGGAGAGGATGGCTAGCATGTTGTCAAATAAGCATCCATTCTAGTAGGTCTGCTTCATCTCCATATCCACTCTCCTGCTATCTACTTTTATTGACGAGTGACCTTTCATGACGGGAATTTCCTTACACAATCCAAGCCCCCCTTCTTCGCACAAGCCCACTCATCCCAATCCCAGAGATCTTCCCCCCCTTTTGAGTATTGTTGATATCACAGATCTTAACATGAGGCGTGTAGGTGACCAGTTAAACCAGGACATCATGGTGATAAGTTGCTATAACCAGATACGCAACATAGGGATCGAATTCACAAACCTCGAATCTGCCTGCCGATTAGGCCATCTCCAGGCAACATATATACAAGGCCGCGACCCCCCCCCACGCTTTCTTCAACTCTTACAAACTCTAAAATGGAATGATGCTTGCTAATAAGGATCTTGGGGCAGATTCACCCTCGAAGGGAGAGAAATTATAGGCTCCAGCCACTTATATCTTACAACAAGATCCCTTCGTGTGCTAAGGGGTGGCCTTGGAGTTAGGGATCAAGTAAATTACTAGACAGGACAGAAGCCATAGCCGCCACAAGCACCCAAAGCTCTAGAAGAACCCCAGCACCAGCAACACAACAATCAACACCCCAGGAGGCTAGAGCACAGTATACCCAACCAACAACGACAGGCGAGTATCATATAATGCGTATCATACAAAGCCCGTACCAGGGTTAGGATCAGGCCGGAATATCAATGTTGAGAAAAGAGTAGGTTTAACTATGAGCAAGATAGGATTTGAAAGGGGTCACGTGTCGCAGATGTGCGGTATATAGTCACCAGGCATCCGGGTATTGGATGCTACAATATTCACGGGTTACCGAGATTTGGTTCAGGACATTGCGTCCGACTTTCAAGTTGGGCATCACGAGTATGTGGGGCTCCAGGCAGGGGTTTTTCACACTCGAATAGTGTACGAATGCTCGCCATCCCTCTCTCCCCCCTAGCCACACTCGCTCAACAGCCGGGGGTAAGGGGCGGAGAGCATCCAGATCCACTGCGCATAAAAACAAATATAGCATTATTGCCCATTAGGATGTTCACCTGATATAACTCGGTATCTTAACTCAAACGTAAAACAGAACAAACTCCCATTTTAACATCTTGAAACCGAAAAGACTACAATCTACAGTTCGTTAACCACCCTTCTCTCATCCCTGAGAGCACAGAGCTTTTCAAGCGCTACGTCGATTGGCACTAATTCGCCCTTATTCTGCGTTTCCTTGTTGTCTCTATTGCGGATGTTGACGGAACGCGATTCTTCCTCTTCGGCTCCAACGACTACGACATTATTAGCACACTAAGGCCTAAGGAGAATGAAGGGGCGAAACATGCCAAAGATAAAGTTGTACTGTTGTAACTGTCCAGTCCTAATCTTCTTCGCCATAGTATTCGGCCCGATATCAACATCGACATGCATCATCTTCGCTCTAAACAGCTTCTGAATCTCAAGCACGTAGTTATTCGCGGCGGCCATTACCGGAATGACCAAGATCTGCCGGGGGCTGAGCCAGAACGGCCACTTCCCGCCAAAGTGCTCTGTAAGGATCGCGATGAAGCGCTCCACACTTCCCAGGATAGCTCGATGGATCATGACGGGGCGTTTGTAGTGCCCCATCTCATCCTTTCCGTCCTGAGCCTTCGCCGAGGGCTCACCGGTGTTGTACTCTAGCTTGAAGCGCTGGGGGAGTTGGAAGTCGAGCTGGATAGTAGCACACTGGTGTTCGCGGCGGAGGGCGTCCGAGATTGTGATGTCGATTTTGGGACCGTAGAAGGCACCGTCTCCTGGGTTCATTTCCCACTTTCCACCACCGCCGGCGGTGAATTCGTCAAGGGCTTTGGTCAATTGAGCCTCGGCAGAATCCCAGGTTGCAATGTCACCGACGAATTTCTCTGGGCGGGTAGAAAGCTTGAGTTTGAAGGTAAAGCCTAAAAGTCCATAGACGGTCTTAAGGAAATCGAAGAGTCCGTGGATTTCTGATCCGACCTTTACCCCTTTTATATTAATATTAAATATTGAGAGCTCAAATAGGGGAACTACTAACCTGTTCCTCGGTGCAGAAAACGTGAGTATCATCTTGTTGGAATCTTCTAACTCTAGTCAATCCAGTAAGAGCGCCAGAAAATTCATTGCGATGAATAACACCAAAATCCGCAACTCGCCACGGAAGCTCTCTGTAACTGCGTTCGCGGTGCCCGAAGAGTAAACAATGGCCAGGGCAGTTCATAGGTTTAAGACCATACTTGTCCTTCTCAACCTCAAAGGTAAACATGTTTTCCTGGTAATTTTGCCAATGTCCACTGGTCTCCCAGAGCTTGGCATTATACATGTTAGGAGTGATAACCTCCTCGTACCCACGTTTCCAGTACTCCTGACGAAGGTAGCCAACTAAGGTGTTGTAGATGCGGGTCCCATGTGGGAGGAAGAAACATGAACCAGGGGAGAGCTCGTGAAAGAAGAACAACTCCTGCTCTTTACCGATTTTACGATGGTCACGTTTTGCAGCTTCCTCGAGGAGTTTTTTGTGTTCCTCAAGCTGCTTCTTGTCGGGGAAACTGACACCGTAAATGCGCTGGAGTGAGTCATTGATGGCATCACCGAGGAAATACGATGAGGAGTTCTATATAATAAGTGTCATTTTTTTTAATTTTTAATTTTTTTAAAAAAACAGGTATTAAGCAGACGAGGGGTCGTACTATACCTTCATAACCTGAAAAGCCTTTATTCTCCCAGTGTTTGGAACATGAGGACCGACGCACAAATCGATCAGCGGCCCACATCTATAAACAGTAGTACTAGTTCCGTCAGGAATCTTGGATCCAATCAAAGTCTGTTTATATTTGTTGTGTTTGAACATGTCGATAAGGTTTTCCTTTGATACAACTAGTCTCTCGAAAGGTTGCTTCTCCTTGATGGCCTTCTGGGCGATGGTCTCCAACGGTTTGTAATCGGTAGCCGTAACAACCTCACCCTCACCAAGACCCATTTCGTAGAAGAATCCATCATCGGTCGGAGGTCCAAGGCAAAGGTGACATCCAAATCGACGCTCAGCCGCCTCGCCAAGAACGTGAGCCGAGGAATGCCAGAACACACGCCTGCCTTTAGAGTTGGGTGTTATCAAGATGATTAGAGTAGAAGTATCCGAAATGACCCACCTTCCGGATCTTCAAAATCCAAAAGCTCTAAGGTTCCAGATTTCTCGAACGGTCTTTCCAAATCCCACACATTGCCATCGACCTTTGCAATAACAGTTTTCTCAAAAAGGCTCTTGCTAATTCCGCGGGCAATTGAAGATGGAGTAGTTTCCCATGATTTACCGGCAACAACTTTTCCATCAGGGAGACTGATAGTAATGTCCTCGCGAGGCTTTGCTACAAGTTGTTTAGCGTTATGGCTCAAAGTTGAAATAAGAGTCTATTCGTACCAGCAACCTCTTGATCATATTCAGCCTTTAGTTTTTCAAATAGGTGAATCCTATGTGAGATATATTCCGGTGGAGGTTCTAACTAAAGAAAAAAAAATTAGTCCTACCGAGTAAAAATAATTGTTGGCAAAGTGGGAAAATATTTGTATATCATACCTCCAAAGGACCCGTGGCTGTACTGGCAACAACCTTCTTCGATTTTTTGCCAGCCTTAGGAGCTTTGGGAGCTTGGGAGGCTCCCTCAGCAGGTTTTTCACTCCCTTCACCAAGCGCGACCTTCCTGACACCCTCGATTACTTTGTCAACCTTTTCCATTGCTGATTGTGTGATGGTGAGGAAAGAGAGTAGAGTAGGTTTTACTTTGGATTCAGGGACCGCTGGCAGATTTCGCGGGGCACTTTTAAGTTACCCGGCTTGAGATTCCCACCTCGCTTATCTGCTTAGCCTCGCCCCCACCATGGCCCTGACTTACGTAAGTAAAGTTCAGTCTTTTTCTGTGTGCGTTTCAATATTTCCGAGTTCCACTCTGAAGCTTGGGGAACATTGTGCAGTATTATTGAATCCCTAAAACATCAAAACCATTCGCGGAAGCAATAAAACTGCCACGACCCCCAGCCATCCCAGTATCATTCCTCTAGTGTCACAATCGCTTTATTGTTAAGCAATATGCCGAAAGAAGTTGCACCTCGTCAGGGCCGACGCCATAACCCGCTACACGACGATCTAGTGGAAAACGAAAGCGGAAATCTACGGAGAATTGCGCGGTCCAAGCGGAAAGAAAAGAGCGAAAGTTTTGAGAACTATGTCGACTCTGGGTCATCAAAACGAATTCTAAAAATTGCTCGAGACCAACAAGATGAACTTCACGAGGAGGAGGCCAGGAAAAATGCTGCCCAGGGTGAATTCTTTGGATCCGCTGCCCAAATGCGATTGCAGGACCAGGAGGAGGAAGAGTCCGATGAGGAGGAGTATGAGGAAGCTGATTTTGGCGAAGATGATATTGTTGAGGAAGTGGTATGCTTAGTGTAAATTCTTATCTAAGACCTAATACTGACCACGAACAGGAAGTTGATGAAGGAGATATAGAGCTATTCAATCAATTCATGCCATCAGGTCAGGGGGCCGCACAGCGGATATCTCTTGCGGACAAGATCTTGGAAAAAATTGCAGAGCATGAGGCGAAATTGGCTGGGCACCCAATAGGGGACGAAGAGACCTCTACCCTACCACCGAAGATAATTGAGGTCTATACAAAGTTCGTGTGTCCAGCATTCGTCATATTTTGCTCCGGAATTGAAATTTTACTAACTACGACTGCGGTTTCATACAGAGTTGGCCTTTTGCTCTCGCGCTACAAATCCGGGAAGCTTCCTAAAGCCTTTAAGATCATCCCATCGCTTAATAACTGGGAAGAGATTCTCTCCATCACAAGGCCAGATCAGTGGTCACCCCATGCTTGCTACGAGGCAACTAGACTCTTTGCTAGTACCAAAGCGAATCAATGCCAAAAGTGAGATCCCGTCATACAGTCCCACTAGCTATTGGTATTCCTACTAACGGTTTGGGTCTATAGGTTCCTAAATGTTGTGCTTCTTGATCGAGTGCGAGACGACATCCAGGAGAACAAGAAGCTCAATGTTCACCTTTATAATGCTATCAAAAAATCACTATATAAGCCTGCAGCATTCTTCAAAGGATTCCTATTCCCTCTTGCTCTGGTTCGTGCGGTTCCCCTACCCATCGCTGCGACATAACTAATTTCTAAAGTAGAGTGGAACGTGTACCTTAAAAGAGGCTCAAATTGTCGGCTCAGTCTTAACACGCATCTCGGTCCCAGTTCTTCACTCCGCCGCTGCACTTCTCCGCCTATGCGAAATGGATTACACCGGCCCAACATCCGTTTTCATTAAAGTTCTAATTGACAAGAAGTACGCGCTCCCATACAAAGTTATCGACGCTCTTGTGTTTCACTTTATGAGGTTTAAGTCGGTCCCTGATGCGCTCCCGCTGCTGTGGCACCAGAGCTTTCTGGCTTTCGCCCAGAGATACAAAAATGATATAACCGAGGACCAGCGAGATGTGCTTTTGGATGTCGTGCTTGTCAAAGGCCATCCGCTTGTTAGCCCTGAGATCAGGAGGGAGCTCCTGGAAGGGAGAGGCAGGGGTGTCGAGATTGGGGAAGCTGATGATGATTTGATGCTAGATTGAACTCTTGGTGTATAATAGTCGCAATTGGTAATTCGAACCTTTTTACCACTTCTGTAGTTAAAATACCCATCTGTGGCAGTGGCCAAGTTAAGCACAAACGCTCTCGTTCCTAGGTCCTGCTTGTTACACCAATTTCAGTATCATAACATATTTGCTTTTAACCTTGCGCTAGTACCATCCCACTTTAATGTAAGCCAACTTCTACAAGTCGTGGTATTCCACCTGAGAGCATAGACCAAGTTGACAATCTTTGATTTTCCGAGTGACGCATCATGGTCTTGCCCATTATCACGTGCTCGCCAAGACATCTAAAAACTTCGTTTGGGACTTCAACAACTTCCTCTAAGGTTTTCCCATCTTTTCCACAAACGGCCATAATCGTAGCCCTCCGCCAACGCCATGCCTCAGAACGAGTACATTGAGCGCTGGACCAAACAGCATGGTAGGAGGTTTGTCATAATTTCCCCTCCTGCAAAATCAGGACCACCATACTAACCAAACCCTTCCAGACTCGACCATGAAGAGCGGAAGTAAGTCTCCCACCAACCCCCTAGCACTCAAACTCAATTACCTTATTAATAAATACCCTCAGGCGCAAGCGCATAGCCCGTGAGGGCCACAAAGCCTCCAAGAATGCCCAGAAACTGCACGGCTTGCGCGCCAAACTCTACGCCAAAAAGCGCCACGCGGAGAAGATACAGATGAAGAAGACCATCCGGCAACACGAGCAGCGGAACGTCAAAACCGATGGCCCATCCGAGCCCTCATCCAACCCACTACCGGCCTACCTCCTCGACCGTACACAGCCCAACACCGCCAAAGCACTCTCTTCGCAAATCAAGCAGAAGCGTGCGGAGAAGGCTGCGAAGTTCTCCGTACCCTTGCCGAAGGTCCGGGGTATTGCCGAGGAGGAGATGTTCAAGGTTGTCAAGACGGGAAAAAAGACGGCGAAGAAGGGGTGGAAGAGGGTTGTTACCAAGCCAACTTTTGTCGGGGCGGATTTCACCAGAAGGCCCGTCAAGTATGAGAGGTTTATTAGGCCCATGGGGTTGAGGTATAAGAAGGCGAATGTTACGCATCCAGAATTGGGCGTTACGGTTCAGTTACCCATTCTTGCGGTTAAGAAGAACCCGCAGAGCCCGATGTACACACAGCTTGGTGTACTCACTAAGGGAACGATTATCGAGGTTAACGTCAGGTTTGTCCCCTTTGCCCCCCCTTTGCTTTTAATTTCATTGGATAGTGGTGGCTGATGGCTTAATAGTGAACTTGGTATGGTTACCGCCGGTGGAAAGGTCGTTTGGGGTAGATGGGCTCAGATCACTAACAACTGTGAGAATGATGGGTGTGTAAATGCGTAAGTTGTCCTGGTCCAACTCTCTTCATAGTTCTTGACATGCTAACAACTCTCTAGTGTCTTGCTTGTTTAATAGATGGGGGATTGGGCCGGTAATCTCGGGTTTGCTTTCAGATAGCAATTAAAAATAAAATGTAGCCCTTGTTTTTGTTTTTTGTATGATACAAATATGCATCTATTAAATCATATCAAAAAAAATCCGATGTGAAATCCCATAACCCGATCTTGCAAAATTGGCGCCCAACGCGAAACAACAATTGATGTAACCAAAACTTCCCAGGTATGATACCCCTGCTTGGTGTCTCCGCCCGATAATATTGATACCCACCCAACCCTGTGAAAGTTATATCATATGATACTCGAATCATCATTCGAAAACCCGAACACCCGCTATAGTGAGCGCAGTGCGGTAAAATAACTAGATATAGCGCATAATTCACCACGATGCCACTGCAGTCCCTAAACCTGCATGTAACCCACCAGTGTCCCCAGACTCGAACCAACCCAACGTCTTTGCCTTACAATTTCCTACGAAACCCACCAACATCAGCACAGGCATTGAGACCCACTAGGAAAGTTCTGCTCTATTTGCTAACAGGGTATGTACTGTAAGTAGGGAAAAGAGGCCACACCGATCCGTCCAGAGAGGGCGCTCTACCGAATCGATGCTGATGTCGAGAGAGTCTGGAGTGGACACGTAAAAGGAAGGTCGGGAAATTATCTTCAATAAATAAAATTCCCGGGAGAAAATGACCCGAGGCAACTGAGTATGTGACTAGGAGGCATATCAGAGCCGCTAGAACTTCCAACGAACAGAGAACGGTCTCGTGATCTCCGGTAAGATCGGGGAAGAATTTGACGAGTGATACATTGTGACTGAACTTCTTGAAACGGGACAATATTCGCCGTAACTCGGTTCCCCCATACACCCTTCCTAGCATGGGATTGAGGTCATATAGGGAGGATGCTGCTTACCTATCTCGTTTAACTTAAGCACTTATTCAATAGAATTACACAAAACTTGCAAGGGTAAAGATACAACTTAAAAATACAAGCAAAGTATTGATATAGCTATCGCAGACCCCAGTATCTCGGGATATAAAATGTATGATCGTTTCTCAACCTTCCCCCCTACCACCGCTACCACTCCTCTTGAATGCTGCCCTCGCTCTCACTATCCTCACTCTCATCGTCATCACTATCGAGGAGGGTGTAACAGCTCTCAGCCTCCTTCTCCTCCTTCTCCTTCCTCTTCCTGCGCTTTTCCCTCCTCTCCTGAAACCTTTCCCTCTTCTCCCTGATATTCAACATGGCCTTTTCAGCCATATACTTGGCAATCGCCTTGATCCTTTCCCTCTTCTCCTCCTTACTCAACTCTTGCACCTCCGTCTCAACATCCTCATCTTCCTCGTCCTCATACCCATCACAAATACCCCCCTCCTCAGGATCCCAGACTTCCCACCCCTTCACCCTAACCATCTCCACATATGCAGTGGAGATGACAACCTCCTCAATGGGCACAAGCGCATGCGAGGTCTGACAATTCACGTATACCTTCTCACCACGATAACACCCATCAAACCAATCGCTGATGCACAACTCGCCAACGAGCGTAGAAACCTGGTTCTCCGCCTCCTCGTTCGCCTCGTCGCGGTACTTGTACACGCCGCGGATGTTGCGGCTGGTCTGTCCGGGGCGCGCAGAACTGCTGACCTGCACGAAGACGACAAAGACATGGCCTGCGTCGGGGAGGTACTCGGGGTCGCCCCAGGGGTCGTGCATTTCTGGCTGGATGAGAGGAAGGCGGGATGCGCTGGTTATCTCAATTTCCGGCAGGGACTTTGGGGGGTCGTTGATGCTGTCCTTGTCGCTGTCACTGTCGCAATCGTCACTCTCGCTGCTATCGCTGCTGTCGTACTCTTCCAGGATGCACTGCCGTCCGATGAAGTGACCGTTTGGCTGCAGGAATTCTAATAGTGGGTCGTCGGAGGCGTATATGCTCGGATAGAGTGACTTGAAGTGACTTTTTGCGGTGGCGGTGGCGCGCACACTGCTGCTGTGGATCGAGTGGAGGTTGATGCACGGTCCGTAGTTGGGGTACGTGCGGATCACGGCTACCAGGAAGACATATTCCTGATTGTCTCGCTCAATGGATGACATGGCTCTAGCAGCTTCTGAAGTGATGACTAATTCGCGAAAGCTAGTATCATAGCCCCCAGATTTAGTCCATATGGCCTTCTAAAGATAAATTCAGTATTAGCCAAATGATGAGAAACTTACTCATCACCAAAAAGCTCCATATCCAAATCATTATCTTGATCCTCCTCGTCGCTCACATCACGCATGTCTACATCACTATCCTCGTTGCGGCCGCTACCACCATGCCCGTCGAATTTCTGCTTAGGGATTGCCACTCCAGCAGAACAATCCATAGCTCTATCATGTGTCATAGTTTTTAGTATGATACGACTCCTCCAAAAAAAGGCGATACATGAAAGGAAACAAGAAAGAGCAAATACCCTTCGGACATTTTTCCTTTCAACCCGGCGCTCAAATCTTCTCTTGTTATGTGAGTTGGTCGTTATGCACTTTATGTTGGTAAAGATGGTCGGCGGCTTGTGTTGATAGATGCTTGGTGTGTGAGCGTCCCCAAGAGGTGTGTGGAAGGTATTTTTCAATTGCAATGGCGAGCAAGAGTTAGACGCCCTTGCAGATATCGCTCCGTTCCCTATTTTCTATTTTTATTATTTTTTATCTTAAATTTCGTTGACCTAAAGAAGAAACCTAGCCCAAAGCCTTTAATGGTTATTCACCTGATCTCACTCGGGGGTGTTTTCTGCGACTTTGGTGGTGCGAGGAAAGGAGCGTTTTTAGAGCGACACGGTAGAGTGGAGGGCGACAGGAATAGCTCTGGTTTAGGCGGGTTGCTCACAGGAGGGGACTATGACTGGATGGGGGTAATCGCGGGTCGCGTCTCTCGTCAAGAAGGTGGCGTTGTCGTCGTGACCGTCGCAGTTGTTGTAAACCATGCGCGACAACGAGAGCGAGCTTGGACCTTACGGAAACGCCGCTACTAAACACCTTCTGCGGGAAGCTGTAATTCTGTTACGACACCATAGAAAACCCCGGCCCTAACATAAGCTATGGAAGGAATGGGATTGAGATAATCGTGAGCCTAAGGAAGGTAAAAGTGATCGAGTGATAGTCAATGACATGATCTCGGGAACGGCAACCAGGCCCCCCAGTCAAACTGGGGTATTCTATTCCTACTGCAAACCGGATATATATTAAAGCACGCGCACTTTATCCTTAAACCCCTCCACGCCCCGAAAAGAATATAAAGTAAAATAGTGAACCCGAAAGCTGGGAATCGGGAAAAAGAATGAATCCCGAGTAGAAAAAGCTAATCGGCAAGGAAAATTAACTAAACAAACAAGCTATAGTAATAATCATCATCTACTCCGTCTCTTGATGGAAGATCTGGAGGGTTGGTATGGAAATCATCCGTATACCTCACGTTAAGAAGTCTGATCTTGAGTCCATAATTTGTCACCACATTGATCAGTTTTGATGTCTCGGAGGTGATGGGCTGTTGGTTTAGGAGCATCAGTAACCCATCCAGCCATTCCGATGCAACGCTATGGGTTTGCGGATGGAGAACTAGTAGTATAGACTCCTTCGCACGCTGTGGGTTCGAGTCGGTGTATCCATGAATTGTTATCTTGGTGCTAGCAAGTTTGGAGGCCCCTTGGGTTAAAGTGCCATGAGAGGAGCCGGAACCAATACTCGCAGGTACTACGTTTGACACAACGCTAGAGACAATTGAGAGGTCGACTGTTTGATTAAGTTAGATCAGGCTTTCGCATCCAATTACCGATGGTGTGATGACTTACTCTTTTCAGGGAGTTCCTCTAGCTTGGGCTCATATACCGTTTCATTCTCATAATCGCAGTAGTGGAGATACCTCCTATTGTGAGAAAGTCGGACGTATCTCCATCCACTCGTGGACTTTTTATTATCCATTTGTATCTTCAGCCCCGAAGCCTCTGTTCTAGGAGTTGATACAGGAAACCATGCACCATGTAATAGACATCGTATGCGTTGCTCCTTGACGAACTGCAGAGCTTCAGTTTTTAGTTCCTCCCTCACATGCCTACAAACGGGACAAGTATTAGATCAGCACTTTAGCTACAGTCCAAACCGAAAAGGAATACCAACTTCAGATGATTCCCCCATGCACTCTCATAGGTGTTCTCTAGGATCTCCATTTGAAGGTCTCGCAGACGCAAGTATTCAAAAAGCGCGAGCTCTTCTTCCACCTCATGGACTTCTTTTGTTCGTGGGGCTTGTCCAATAACATGGTAGATCAGCACCCTCAATAACTCCGTGACTTTTTCATAATCCTCCAGACTAGCTCCAGTCTCTCTCCAGAGGCGTATGAATGCAAGTAAAGCGCCGGTATGGAGTCTGGACCACTGAAGCAATAACGGACGAAAGGCCCTCTCATAATTTGTTCGTGATTCGAGAACTTGATAAGTCTTGATATCGTCGATCTCGGATTTGTCCACCCGGAATTGATGATAGAGGATCGAAGTGACAGTGATGCTCGCACGGGCAACTGGACATCTATACTCCATTTCTTTCGCGTTTTGTTCCAGGAGAACTTTCCGGAATCCGTCCTCATCTTTCCTAACAAAGTCTGTTAAATCCATCATACCTAGGAACCCAACTTCTCTAAACTCCCATGCTGGAGACTCAGTCCCAAATCCTAGGCGCCTCCATTTTTCTGGATTATGTTTTTTCTTTGCCGGCGAGTCTGCTTTCGGGTCCGTCCCGGGATCTGATCTCTCTGGTGCACTTGCTAGGTGTAGTCCCTTCAGCGCTATCCGATGCTCCTTGGCTTCCAAATCTACTTTGACATCCCTCCACCTGCGCAACAAAACTTTAGTCAATGCCTGGAACTCTAACAACGGATGTGCAAGATCCTGTAACGCTGAGCTTTGCATAAGTATCTGTAGCCCAGATTGTCAGCCAATTGATTTCGGGAATAGAGCCCTCCGTCCGTAACAAAGTGAGTCGTACAAAGACAGCTTTGATAACACCCAAATCCTGCAATCTCTTAATAAACCTTGGCCATTCATTGTCTGTATCATTGGTGATAGCATCCCTCATAAGAGAGTTTATGAGTTGTAATGAATTCGCGCATAGAGCATGGTCCGCAGACGACAGCCTGCTAACCAGCATCTCCAAAAATTGCGGGTGCATAGAAATAGCCGGCTTTAGTGCCCGAAATCCGAATGGACCGGTATAGGAACCTCTAGTCGAGGAAGTATGTGGGTGAGAAACAATCGAAACGAGTATCGACATGGCGCCACGAAGAATATTAACAAGAGGATGTGTGACGATTAATTCCACAACCTAAATTACCATCCGTGCGACATCAGCGTGAGTCCTCGTGCGTAGCAAAAACTAAGAGCGCCGGAAAGTAGGTACCCGTGAAATGAGTTCGGAATTGACAAAGTCCCACCCTTTATCGAGTTCCAGAAGCCTCGAAAAGGACGTTAGAGAGTAGGCAAGTGTATTCCCGCTGGCCGTTAATGCCAACTTCCGAAGCTTCGCGAGTCCTCCTTGAGCTATGAATATCTCCGCAAACGACGGATCCCCGATATTACTTTGGAGCTTAAAGACCGCCATCTTTTTAACAGCATCCTAATAAAGCGTCAGCTAGAGAAAGCTGGGGGATATAGCCAGGAAAGAAGTTAGAATACTTCATCGTTTGAGAGCCTCTCAATGAGCTCTGAGATGTTGTCCATTGGAGTGCGAGGCTATTGTCTGTATATTTCACGAAAAGGGGCACAATCCCTAAACCGAGGCTTTCAGGACTAAATACCGTGGCAACAGGGAGCAAAATAGGGTGTATCATATACTCAGAAAAACAAATGGTTTTTAAAGTTGTTAAATCAAAGCGAAGAAGAAATGCAGATAATAGTTCCTCTACCAGCGGAGGTTCCGGGGGATGGGGGAGTCCATTGCTCAACTAAGTTACTGCAGCGGAGGCTGCCGTCAGGGTTAGGTTTGATTTCAGGTGATTTTTAGAGAAAAGCCAACACCAATCCAATCCATCAGCGTGGTCCCTTAAGGTTTTTTATTTTTGTTTGTAAATCTGTGAGATTTATTTATATCAGGAGGATCCCCACAATTGGGAAATCATATATATTATCCCATGGCAAAAATATGGCACAGATAAATTCTGCATTAAGCTGTCAGGGAGCCAAGCACTATAAGCAACTATCAGCGAACTGAAAGCGAGCAGTCCCAAGCGCAGTACGGTACTGTGCGGTACTATTGGTGAATCTTACCTAGATTTCCTGCAGTAGCCTAGTACTAGAATTTGTACGGCGATATAAGTCCGCAAGCTTGAAGCTGCAAGGATTATGTGTTGGGGATTGGTGATTGCTGTGGAA